GATGGAGAGAACCAAGGGTCTATATCCTCTCTAATTTTCCTTGCTATATTTCCATGGAAGTCTCTTTCTAATATTAGAGCTATTGATTTCCAGCATAGGCTTCTTGCCTCTGTTTCCTTCATGACTTGCATGCCCCATTTTAGAAAGTAACATGGGAAAGCATCCTCCTCCTATTATAGGGTAACCCAATGGATAATTGTGGGCCGAGTCACACCACCTGGGGTCTAATTCCTTCTCTACCACTAATTGGGCAAGTTAATTGGCCTCTCTTTGACTCAGTTTTTTTTAATCTGTAAAATGAGGATAGTAATGTATCTACATCATAGCTTTGTTCTGGGACTTAAATGAATTAGTATATGTAAAGTGCTTAGAATGATGCCAGCACCGTAAATGTCCAACACATGTTGGCTATGGGTGTTGTTGCCTGTGCCTCTTTTGAGCTCCATCTATTCACTGGCTCTTGATACTATAATCCTATATAATAAAGGGCTAATATGTTAATTAGACTGGACAGCAGGACAACCTTCTGGACGAAGCCGAGGCTGTGAGGCCAAGGCAGAGGGCCAAGGCAGCCAGGGCTGCGAGGGCCAAGCTCCTTGCACAAATTTTGTGCATGGGGTCTCTAGTCCTATATAATAAAAGGCTAATATGCAAATTGTCCCCTCCAGTGTTTGACTGACTGGGAGTTCAACAGCTCGCTATGATGTGCACTGACCACAAGGGGGTGGCGTGGAACGAAGGAAGGCCCCGGCCAGCAGCCCACAGCTAGCAGCTGGCAGCCAGGGGAAGGAAGGCTCCGATCGACCCTGATCGCCGGCCAGGCCTAGGGACCCTACCTGTGCATGAATTTTGTGCACTGGGCCTCTAGTCAAATATAATTGTTCAAATTGGGGTTTCACCTCAGGCTCATAATAATGGAACATATAGACTTATGCAGATTACCAAGGGGCTTTATTCAAGATACACATTCAGGTTTTTTCTGTGCTTAAACTAAGATGTCCCTTAGAGTCATATAGTAGGAGACTTCTATTGACATCAGTGGATAGATCTTCTAGATAGAAAATCAAGAAGGAAACATCCACCTTAAATGACACACTAGATCAGTTGGATTTAATTGACATCTTCAGAGCATTTCACCCCAAAGCAGAAGAATATACATTTTTTTCAAGTACACATGGAACATTTTCTAAGCTAGACTACATGTTAGGACACAAAACAAGTCTAAATAAATGTAACAAGATTGAAATTATATCTAGCATTTTCTCTGGCCATAATGGTATGAGACTAGAAATCAATCACAAGAAAAAAAATCTGAAAAACACATAAAGACATTGAGGCTGAATAATAAGTTACTAAATAATGAGTGTGTTAACAATGAGATCAAGGGAAAAATAAAAAGATACCTTGAAACAAATGAAAATAAGAACCAACAACTTAAAATCTACAGAACACAGTGAAAGCAGTCCTAAGAGGAAAATTCATAGCATTACAGGCCTATCTCAAGAAAAAAGAAAAATTTCATACAATCTAACCTTGCATTTAAGGGAACTAAGAAAAGAACAACAAACAAAGCCCAAAGTGAGTAGAAGGAAAGGAATAATAATGATAGAGCAGAAATAAATAAAATAGGGTCTAAAAAACCCCACACAATTCAAAATATCAATGAAACCAAGAGCTGGTTTTTTAAAAAGATAAGAGTGACAAACCTTAACCAGACTCATCAAGAAAAAAAGAGAGAGGACCCAAATAAATAAAATCAGAAATGACAGTAGGGAAGTAACAACTGACACCACAGAAATACAAAGGATTATAAGAAAATATTGTGAATAACTATATACTAACAAATCGGACAATCTGGAAGAAATAGACAAATTCCTAAAAACATATAACATTTCAAAACTAAACCAAGAAGAAAACAAAGGTCTGAACAGACTGATTACAACTAATAAAATTGTAGCAGTAATCAAAAACTCCCAACAAATGGAAAGGCTGGACCAAATGGCTTCACAGGTGAATTTTACCAAATACTCAAAGATGAAGTAACACTTGCCCTTCTCAAACTATTCTAAACAATTCAAGTAGAGAGAAAACTCCCAAATTCATTTTATGAAGCCAACATTATCTTAATTCTAAAACCAGATAAAGACACTACAAAGCAAGAAAATTGTAGGTCAATATTCCTGATGAACATAGAAGTAAAAATCCTCAAAAAAATATTAGCAAAAAATTCTAGCAATACATTACAGGTCATACACCATGATCAACTGGGATTTATTCTGGGGATGCAGGGTTGTTACAACATCAGCAAATCAATTAACGTGATACACAACATAAATAAAATGAAGGGTAAAAATCTTATAATGATATCAACAGATGCAGAAGAAGCTTTTGACAAAATCTAGTACCCATTTATGATAAAAACAACCAACTTTCAGCAAAGTGGGAATAGAGGGAACATATATTAACATAAATGACATTATGACAAACATAAATGACAAATCCACAGCTAACATCATATTCAATGGGTAAAAACTAAAAGCATTTCTCCTGTGATCAGGAACAAGGCAGGGATGTCCACTTTCACCATTCTTTTTCAACATAGTACTGGAAGTCCTTGTCAGAGCAATCACACAAGAAGAAGAAATAAAAGGCATTCAAATTGGAAAGAAAGAAGTAAAACTGTCATTATTTACAGATGACATGATACTGTCTTTAGAGAGCCCTAAAGATTCCACCAAAAAACTACTAAAACTGATAAATGAATTCAGTAAAGTAGCAGATACAAAAATAAATATTTAGAAATCAGTTGCATTTTTATTTGCCAATAATGAATTATCAGAAAGGGAGACAAAGAAAATCCCATTTACAATTTCATCAAAAGAAATAAAATATCTAGAAATAAATTTATCCAAGAAAGTAAAAAACCTATACTTGGAGAATTATAAGACATCGAGGAAAGGAATTGAAGAGGATACAAATAAATGGAAGCAGACACAGTGCTCATGGACAGGAAGAATTAATATTGTTAAATGTCCATGCTACCTAAAGCAATCTATAGGTTCAACGCAATTCCTATCAAAATACCAATGACATATTTTACAGAACTAGAACAAATAGTCCAAAAATTTATATGGAGCCACAAAGTCCCCAAATAACTACAGAAATCTTGAGAAAGAAGAACAAAGTGGGAGGAATCACACTACCTGATATCAAACTATACTACAAGGTTACAGTAGTCAAAGCAGCATGGTACTGGCAAAAAACAGACATACAGATCAATGGAACAGAAAAGAGAGCCCAGAAATAAATCCATGCCTGTTCGATCAACTACTATTTGACAAAGGAGTCAAGAACATACAATGGGATAAAACCTGTTTCTTCAATAGTGGTATTGGGAAAATTGGACAGATATGTGCAAATAAATGAAACTAGATCACCTTCTTACACCATATACAAGAGTAAAGTAAAAACGGGTTAAAGACTTAAATGTAAAAACTCAAAAGCATAAAACTCCTAGAAGAAAACATAGGCAGTAAAATCTCTGACATCTCTCTTAGCAATATTTTTTTATATATCCTCAGGCAAGGGAAACAAAAGAAAAAATAAGCAAATGGAACTACATCAAACTAAAAAGTTTTGCACAGTCAAAGAAACCATCAACAAAAGGAAAAGACAACCTACCGAAAGGGAGAACAAATTTACCAATTATACATCTGCAAAGGGGTTAATATTCAATATTCAGAAAGAACTCATACAACTCAACACCAGAAAAGCAAACAACCCAATCAAAAAATGGGCAGAGGACCTGTAGAGACACTTTTCCAAAGAGAACATAGAGATGGCTAATAGACATGTGCAAAGATGCTCAACATTACTAATCAGAGAAATGTGAAATATCCCACAATGAGATATCACCTTACACCTGTCAGAATGGCTGTCATCAATAAATCAACAAACAATAAGTGTTGGTGAGGATATGGAGAAAAGGTAACCCTTATGCACTGTTGGTGAGAATGCAGATTTGTACAGCCACTATGGAAAACAGTATGGAGTTTCCTCAAAAGATTAAAAATGGATCCAGTGATTCCACTTCTAAGTATATATCCAAAGAAATCCAAAACACTAATTTGAAAGAATATATGCCCCCTTATGTTTATTGCAGCATTATTTATAATAGCCAAGATATGGAACCAACCCAAGTGCCCTTCAATAGATGAGTGAATAAAAAAGTGGTGGTACATATATAAAATGGGATAATACTTGGCCATAAAAATGGATGATATCTTCCTATTTGCAATAGCATGGATGGATTTAGAGGGAATTATGCTAAATGAAATAAGTTAGAAAAAGACAAATACCATATGATTTCACTTATATGTTGAATTTAAAGAGAAAATAAATGAACAAACAAAATAGCAACAGACTCATAGATACAGAGAACAGACTAGTGGCTTCCAGAGGGGAGAGGGTTGAGACTCTGGGTGAAAAAGTGAAGGGATTAAGAAGTGCAAGTTGGTGGTTAAAATTAGTCATGGGGATATAAAACACAGCATAGGAAATCTAGTTAATAATATTGTAATAACTATGTATGATTCCAGGGCGACCACTGCTAAAGTATATGATTATCTAACCACTATGCTGTACACCTGAAACTAATACAAAGTAATATTGAATGTAACCCCCATCCCTAAAACTAAGATGTCCAAAGCATTATATCCTATAAAAAGCTGTATTTTCTTTTAGGGTCAGCCAAAATTTGTAGGAATATTCTAATTTCAGGTGGAACTTGGTTCTGAAGATGGATTGATTGATTCTATAAACTTATATTACTCAAAGCCCAATCCTAAGCTAATGACTACCGGCCCAAATCATTCTTCCTAAAATGTTAATTCATTGTCACAATGCATTAAATCATACTTACATTTTTATTTGGTGAGTAGGACATAGCTGTGGTAGTGTTTATTTTGTATATAAATACATAATTTCTTTGTTCTTTCTAGTATGTGAAGAATTCTTGAACCGATTCTACAATTCCTTGATAGCCAGAGGAATTAACTTTTCTCTGGACACCATAGAAAAAGAATTGGTCAGCTTTTGCTTGGGCGTCAAAGGAAAAGAAAACCGCCTGGTATGGTAAATTTTCACCTTGTACTTGAGGGAAAGTGCTGATACTTTCACTTCTTATCTTGGACTTAATGTCCTCCTGCTTAGATGCTGGCCTCAGGCATGTTCACTGTAGAGAGCAAGCAGAAATTGATCATTCAGTGAAATGCAGTCATATGAATTTTCATCTAGAATACATCTGATTTTATTTTGCTTTTGGAATAAACCACAGACAACTAAGCACATATTTTCTTAATAAAATTATACAATTGAGTGTCTAATTGAGAATTTACTGTCCTGAGTTAAGAATGGATAGACTTTCTATTTCTTACCGAGACAATGAGTTCAACCTTTCCAAATATTTTATATTATTATTTATATATAACCAATGAAATTTCCTTGTAATGGTGTTTGCATAGTGTTTCCTGGGTATACACAAATGACTTTTTAAATAAACTGGTTTACATCACTAAAAACAATCTTAGGGCAATTCCTTTTCCCTAAAATTGTCATTTTAAATTTCCAGTTAAAGTTGCATTGCTGACAGCTCACCTCTGACACATTTAAAACTCTCAGCATTTATTTGTACCATTAAGTTTTATATTTTTAAATGTGAAATGCTTAAGTTGGGTAGCTTGAAAGGCAGTATAACATGAAAAAGTGCACTGACTGTAGAGCCAAAATGCTAGATCTTAAAAAAATTAATCTCTTCAACTTGCTAGCTGAGTGACCTTCAGTTGGCTTGGGTATAAAATGGGGATAATAATAGTACTTACTTCACAGGATTGTTGTGATAATTAAATAAGTCAATACCTGTAAAGCCCTGAGAGCAGCGCCTGGCACAAGGAAAACACTCAGCAAGCCTTGGAGCATCATGTGAACTGCCGGGCACTTCTAATTAGGATGATCATGGCAATGCGGTCATTTGTTTTCTGGTGTCTTAGCAGGGCTTGAAATTTAATAGCGGGGCCATGAAAACTAGGTTAACCTCTTTCTTACTTTTCAAAACCGTATCACTTGCTTTGGGCCACTAAATTCTCTTCATTCTCCATCAGTGCTATTATCTAGGAGCAACAAAAGATGCAGCCACAAAGATCCTAAGTGAAGTCACTCGTCCAATGAGTGTGCACATGCCTGCAATGAAGATTTGTGAGAAGCTCAAGAAGATGGACAGTCAGATCTGTGAGCTGAAATATGGTATAATGGAGTCAAGTCTTTTTTCCCCTAGGATGTGTGAAGTATTGCCAATTCTCAAAACAGGCTATTTTTTCTAAAAAGTCAGTGTTAGAAGGAAAGAAATTCTTCATTTGTCATTATGTTGTTAGGCTGCTGAATGATACTTAATGTCTCTTGATCTTTTTTGGGGAGTAAGAGAAATAAATACTGGCATAATCAGTGTAGGTAAAACTGTCATCCCAAATAGGAAAGTTTAAGCTCTTATATCACCAAGGCAGTGTCAACTGTGTATGTCAAGGAAAAATTCAAAATATTGAGGGAATAACTACTCATGGTAATTTAGCTCTTGGCAACCTATTAAGGAAAGCTGCATCTATTTAAATATTCAAAGGTGATGTAAAGACTTTGAAGTTTTAAATGTGTGTGTACTGTTTCCCTTAGATTTGCCTATTATTCTGCCAGCTTTAAATTTTGGGAAATAGGTTATTCACTTCAAATCAGGTTTTGCCGATGAAATGTCCTTATTGAGGGTGCCTAAAATAAACAGTGAGGAAAGAAAGATGTCTTATTTAAATTATTATCATTGGCCTTCTACAGTTCACATAGATAAATCTATTCTTATACTGAAACTTTCTATCTGGGCCAGCCTTATTGGGTAGATTGAGTAGGTATGATAAATGCTGGGGGGATTCCTCCCTTAGCCTAGCCTTAATACCTGAAATTCCACCAGTAGAGACCCATTTCTTTTGTTCAAGTCATTGTTTTATGTTACATACCAGTGTAGTATTGTAAACTACCTAATTAACACCCAGCTCTGAATTATTTTCTAACATAGCTGTGTAATATGCCTATGGACCATAACTACATAGCTGGCTTTAAATAGGTTTAAGGTTGGAAGGTACCAAAAATCCCAGGTCTCTCAATTTGCCAAGGCAGGCCCTAATTTCCAGGATAGTGATTATGGGACAGGCATCTTTTTTTATTGGCTTTCAAGTAATGAAGTAGAGGCAGGAATCACTGAGTCCATATAAACAGTAGTCTTGAAAGGGACAAACTTATGCTGATTCTTTAATTCAACAACTTTATTTTGAATATCTTCTATTATGTGCCAGAGATGTTACTGGGTTCCTTGAATAATAGAAAAATTAATAATATATTATTAAGAAATGAGTATCAACCTTTTTCTTGTAGTTTTGGGGTGTCATAGTGGTTTCCCATTTTTAAAATTAATACCAGATTCCAAGTTCTTTAGAAAAGCTCAAGGAAACTACTGACACTTGAAAGAAAGTATATTTCTCCTTCAACCATTTATCTTGAATAGACCACTAGTTCTTATTTTTTGTTCCCTACTTATTGTTGGCAAGAAAATTGAGATTGAACAGGGGCCTTTGAGCTGTGGGATATTAATAATTTGGGCTATAAATGCTTCTACTTATAAAGGCATTCTTCAAGTCATCCATGAAATTATGATCAAGGTAAGTGTAGAGTTGGATATGTTTTCAATTAGGAAGGTGTCATTTGGTTTTTTACCTGAAAAAATATTTTTGCTTGTTCTGTATCTTAAAAAGATGGGGATCACTATAAAAATTTAAGGGTGGCTGACCCTTTCATCTGTATCTGACCCTCCAAATAAACAAGGCTTTAAAATCCAACTTTTATTATTTTTCCAGGTTTATTGAGATATAATTGACTTAAAACATTGTATAAATTTAAGGAAAATTACTCCTTTCTGTTAGGGAAATTATAATCATAAGTATATTATAGATAAGCTTAATTTATTTTTCTGTTTTGGGGCTTGACAATAGAGAAGTAGTTGAGTCTTAACATTCTCTGCAGACAATCTGTAAACAGGGAAATGGTAGTCTTGCTAAAGGAGTTAGATGTTGGTGACAAATGTTATTGGCAAGAATGTTAGAAGCCAGATTGGCTGGCACTGAAGCACCAGCATTAGAGAAGTGGGTATCCTCCAAAGGACTGTAAGTGAATGCTGTGATAAATTAGTAATTCCAGTAGGGGTCGGGGATCAGGCGAGGTTAAGCAAAAACAAATAAGGATCAATAAAAATGCTCCTAAATATATTCATGTGTTTGGATTTCTTTATATTTGTATTTAAAGACTTGATAGTGCTTTGTAAATGTATGCTTGTTTTACTGAAGACATATCTATATATATATATAAAGAGCCAGGGTCCATAACATCGCAACGACCAAGGCTCAACCGAACACTAGAAGTCAGTGTCTGCAGCCGGTGTGGTGCAGCGACCCAGCACTGACTGCCAAGGGGGCTGCGGATCAGGCCCAGAGAGAGGCCTGCAGAGAGAGAGGCAGGGTCTGATCCACAGCCTCTGTGGCAGCTATTGATCAGCCCTTGCCTCTCTCTCCGGGCTTCACCAGCAGCTGTGCCTTTGTTTTTCTCCGGGACTCTGGGTGGGGGGTGAGGCTGCTGATCAGCCCCGCCTCTTTTATCAGGCCCAGAGATAGGCCCAGAGATGCTGACGGGCATAGAAACTGGCATAGAAACTGACCAATCAGAATCAAATCTGGGTGAAGTGCCAGGAGCCAATGACTGCCTAGGAGGCGGAGATTTTGATGCTGACTGGCATAGAAACCGACCAATCAGAGCCTAATCTGGGTGAACTGCGAAAGCAGAACCTAAGGTGGGAGCTCAGGAGGGGTTTTAAGGGCAACAGCTGTTTGGTATAAGGTGTAAGAAAGTGGTTCAATATTTTAATGACCGCTTTGGCAGTATAGTGCATATGGCTCTCTATCAGTCCAGATATAGGGATTATATGTTTTTGTCTGTGAAGAGCATCTCCTCCTGCTGAAAAAGGCTTTTCTCCCCCATTTAAGCAATCCTAGCCTATATAATCTATCTATTCTAATAAAAGGGTAATATGCTAATTAGACCGGGTCAACTGACCATCTTGCAGACATCCAACTTCCTTCCAGACAAAGCCATGGTGGTGGGGGCCAAGGCAGAGGCAGTTAGGGGTGATCAGGATAGCAGGGGAGGGCAATTGGGGGTGATGAGTCAGGCAGAAGCAGTTAGGGGCAATCAGGCCAGCAGGAGAGGGCCAGTGGGGGTGAGATCAGGCTGGCAGGGGAGGGCAGTTGGGGGCGATCAGGCAGGCAGAGGCAGTTGGGGGCGATCAGCCAGGCAGGCAGGCAGGCAGGTGAGCGGTTAGGAGCCAGTGATCCCAGATTGTGGTCAGTCATCCTCCAAGGGGTCCCTGATTGGAGAGGGTGCAGGCTGAGCTGAGGGAACCTCCCAACCCCCGCCCCCCTGCACGAATTCCGTGCACCAGGCCACTAGTCTTTACATAGAAAGTGAGCCATAACTTTCTAGTTATTTATGACCTATGGATTTCAGCTGGACACACACAGTTTGTCCCAAGGCATCCCTTTTTATTGGTTTCCTTCTTTTACCTTAGGAGTGGCAATTAGAATGTGCTGCTGTTATTTTAGGATTGTTGATCTTGAGAAGGCATGGGGCAGTAGCAGGTATTGCAAAGCTACACTTTTGAAGCCCCCGTTTTGAAGCAAGTATAATTCCATGAAGAGAAAGTCTGATAGAACAACTTATCCCAATAGCTCTATCTATATACACTTTCCTTAGGTTCTTGATTTCCATAGAGATTGGAATTGTTCTCCACTTTGGATCATAAGGTTGCCAGCACCCAGATTGAGTAACACCGTTTGCTTTTCTAAACGTTTCAGAGTTGTTTTTTTTAAAAATTTGTGTTTTTCCTTTTTGTCATTTAGAAAAGAAATTAGACTTAGCATCAGTGGACCTGTGGAAGATGCGAGTGGCAGAGCTGAAACAGATCCTGTACAGCTGGGGAGAAGAATGCAGGGCCTGCGCGGAGAAAGCTGACTACGTAAATCTGATCAAGGAGCTGGCACCGAAGTATGCAGCGATGCACCCCAGGACAGAGCTCTGACCCTCAAATGCTGGGGCACCATTGGTTGTAATTAGAGACAAAATGAGTCTCTAGGATATGGATGAGTTGGTTAAAAGTAACCGGGAATTGCACTGTGCATGGTCGCATACATTTTGTTTTGATATGACACTTCAGGACTGGTTGCTTGGGTTTGTAAGTAAAACTGTTAATATTGGTGGTATCTTACATTTTCAGTGTACCAAAATCTAAAAGTGCCTTTCTCATAATTTTCTGGTAAGGACTATGCAAATGATTATTGGCTACCCCCTAAAACTGGGAAAAGCGAACTATTGAAAAATTGATGTAGTAAATTGATTCTAAGAAGGAGGATAATGCTCACAGGCCTCTCTGTGAACAAATATTTAATTGAATGGATTGGATTAGGACAGAAGGAACAATGTTTAGCTTATTAACTCTACACTTCAACTCAAAATAATAACCTGGCATAATAAAAAGTTTTTTTTTTAAAAAAGTAAATTGTATTTCAACTGCAAATCATTCTGCTTTCTAGTTCTCTTTGATATCAGAAATTAGAGGGCAGGAGGCACTACTTGAAATCAGTGTCTCCCATAAGAAGAAAACCTATTTAAAACCTGTTTAAACCTACTTAAAGGAATAGATCAAGAATCTACTGAAGTGTAGCCAATGTTTTAGCAAATTGTATCAACACAAGTGAACAAAACTCAAGGTCTTTTGCATGCCTTTCTATCACACAGTAGATAAGCTTTTGAAAGAGGATTAAAACATATTAAGGGCACATGCAGGCAACATGGAGCTTTATGATTCTCAGTGCTATTTTATCAGCTCTAAACTGCAAAAATCATTTTTTGTGTCCATTTTCTGGTCACATAAGAAGGAGATCTGCTGTAGAAGTGGCTGCCTCTGTGTGGCAGGTGGAGGTGGGGAATGACTGCAGAGCAACTCAAGGGAACTTTCTGGGGTGATGGGACCCCCTCTGCTTTGATGGTGGTTACATGGGTGAATATCATTGTTAAACTCATCTGGTAGTAAAATGAAGGTCTGGGTATTTTGTTGTATGTAAATTATATCTAAAGGACTGCTGTAGAAAAACCATTTGAAAATTAACTAAAATTAAATGATTCAAAACTTCTTGTGTGTTTAAAGAATTGCAATTACTGACTGGGAGTCCTTTTGGGGAGTGGAGGAGAAATTTTCCTGACGAAATTATATATTGGAAATATTATTTTCACTTTTAAATGCTGCACAGGTAAACAAAATTTCAGTTGAGCAGTTGGGATATAATCAAACTTATCAGAAAATTAGTCGTTAGTAACTTAAAAATAAGAATAAGAAGGCTTTGGTGTAATAAGTGGCCAAAAGGGTTATTGTTTTTAGATTCTGAAAGCTTTATCATTATGTGTAAAGCACCCTACTTAATTATGAATTATATCTTTAAAATGCCCAAATTGAGGTTTTGTTTGTTTGTTTTTACTTTTTATAAACTTACTGAAAGGTTAACATGGTGGTATGTGGGCAGGCTAAATAGCCATCTCAGATAGTGATTTAAGAAAAATTGAATTTATTTAGGGAAAGTGATGGGGGATGGGATACCCAAAGGGAAGGGCTGCACAGCACCAAGCCAAGGGGCACTGGGTCCATGACGGAGGTTCATCCTTATATATAGTCATAGGCAGGAGGCTCTTGTCCTCAGTAGTCTGGAGGCTGACTTGGTGGGTGGAGAACGTGGATGGAATGCAGATGTGTGATCAAGAGTCTTTAGGACAGTTTTAATTCCTTATATGGTCTGATTCCTGATGCCCAGCAAGTTTTTCCTGGTCTTTGTTTTCCTGTGGTGGGAAGTTTACAAATGGCTGTTAAGGATTATATTGTCCTATAGTCCTAACACTTACGTTTGTTTTTCTTTAGTGCATTTTGAAACTAAAGTTGTTATTTGAAAAAGTATGTTTTGACATCTGATCTCAAAATCAGGTCATATTTCTCAGGGTCTTTTTTTTTCAGGATATAAATCTAGGTAATAAGTGTTATGCCCAGATTTCAAGATCCCCAATAGACCATCAGGGAGCCAGCCAAGTCCGATGCAAAAGCAGAGAGTCTTTTATTATTATTACAGACCCGGGTCTGGCTCTCAGCCCCCACCGACGCACAGCGAGATGAGAGAGATGACCGTGGGAAAAAAATGGGGTTTTAATAGGGGGGTGGAGTGAGGGGAGGAGAGATGACCGTGGGCCCTGCCGATTGGCCAGGCGCAAATTGGGTCTTGTTACACAGGCTATGGCGCACACGTCCTTTGATTGTCATTGGTCAGTTTAAAGAAATCCCGGGCGTGGCCAGCAGAGGCCTGGGCCTCCAGGAAGAAGGTACCTTCCTGAGCACATGGTTGCTGTCCCAACATGGAGGATACGGGGCAAGATGGAGGGCATAGCCCTCGCCCTTTCAGTAAGAATACTGCCCAGCAAGTCATTCAAATCCATGCTATTTAGTCTAGTTTCTCAAAGGGCATTTAATCTAAGTCAGTGCTACTCAAACTTCTCAAACTGTGTATCCAAATCATCTGGGATCTTGTTAAAATGGGGATTTGGAATTAGTAGATCTGGGAGAGGCCTGAGCCTCTGCATTACTAACAAGCCTCAAGTCGTGCCCAGGCTGCTCTTCCAGGAACCATACTAAGTAGCAAGGGCCTGAGTAATGGATCCTGTGATTGATTTATTTTTTCCTTCTGCCAGTCTCAATTAGTTAGGTTTATAATAGATCTGAATACAACCATAATGACAAAAAGCCAAACAACAATAAAATCCCAAGCATTGATTCTTCCATGTAAAAGTAGTCCAGAGGTAGCCAGTCCAGAGTAAACATGGCACTTCTACAAAGTTCTCAGGGACTCAGCTCTTATCTTTTTGCTTCATATCCTAGTTGTAGGTTCCATTTTAAATCCTGGCCAGGTTGGCTGCTTAGAACCCTGTTCCAGAAGGCAGAAGGCATGAAAAGACTGCCTCTGCACTGAGTCAGCCTCTTTGGGGCAGCCTTTCTCCTCCCCACCCCTTTTCATGCTATTTGCTTCTTTCATAAATACAGGCAGTTATGTCTTTTCTTCTTTTTTCGTTTGTCAAGAAGTAGCAACTGTTTTTCTATTTTATTTCATTGCCAGATTTCAGAGGAATTATATAAGGAGAAAAACATACTGATCTACTCTAAGATTTTCTGACTTTCCTTGCCGATTCCTTTTTATGGATTTTTCAGAGTTATAATAAGATAGTAATTGTTGGCATTAAACTTTCCTTCTATGCATAACCATGCCTTAGACCTTTTATTCTAAACAGGCCTTTCCCAGCTTACTACCCCTGACATGGGCATGATTACGCAGGCCTGCAAGCAGTACACAGACTGCCATCTGTCAACTGTCTTTCAACAGAGACCAAAACCTGACGGGCACCCTTTCCTGCCCAGTTGGGTACCTGCCCTCTTGGCAGCTAGACATCCTTTACTTTTGGGGGTCATCCCACACAGTTCCCTTTCAGGACAGTCAACATACATTTAAACCTGCAAGAGAATTAATTAAAGGTCAATATAACATATCAATATAATGAAACATAATATTGGCATCATGGCCGCTTCAGGCAGCCAAATCTTCTGCTACTAAACATGTGATACTAAAGTCTATTCTTGACCTTCCTATGAATTGTCCTTGTCTTTTTGGAGCCATGTCCATGAAGATGCAGGCATTATCTAAGTCTATTCAATGTTACCAGCATCAGGCAGGTCGAGCACGCCGTAGCTTGAGCTTGAGCGGGTTGCTTTGATCTCAATCGATGCTCCATTTGGTGATGAAGTCTTTCCGGATCACGGATGGGTCCGCTGACTGGACGTGAGTGTGATGGACCCAGGTCGCGAC